GACCAGCTTTCTGATTGGATATGAAAATTACAAAAGTTGTAAGAAGTAACATTCTGAATATTGCAAGTGTAGATAGTAGTTGAACAGTAACAACAAAAAAAAAACAGAACTCAACACTATTCAAGAATTCTAATACAAAATTATTTGGTGTAGAAATCAACAAGACTTGTAAAAAGTTTTTTCGAAATTCCACTACAAAATAGGGAGTTGAGGAATAGTAAAATAAATTTCCGTTGATACTAGTTAAAAGTTCTTGAAAAACAACAAAAACTGGGAGATCCAATATTCTACTAGAAAATTTATGGTGTAGAAAAAAATTTAAAAGCTGTAGCTAAATTTTTTCAAAAAATTCCACAACCAAATGTTTGTTATGAAAATTAAGTATTATGAACGCTCATGAGCAAAAAATATTTCATTATAAAGTTTAGAAACAAACGTATATTTTTTCGCCATCATTGACGTCAAGCATCATCTGGTTATTACTGATACAATGCCTGTATTGAATCATATTTGAACTTGGAAATATCATAATCGCTCTCAGATGAGATGCATACGCTATATTTAGAATTGTAGCAGTTTAAATATTTTATCTCAATCACTTGGACTGTTGATTGTATAATATACTAATTAAAGTCATATATTTGAAATATTGTTCGAAGTAATTTTTTGATTACGTTGAAGGTTATAGCTATGGGTCATTCGTTTCGTACTAATTCATCATTTAACAACGAATGATTAGACAGTGCAGTGACTTTTACTGTTCTAATACATCAGAGAAGAGAAAATCGTGGCAAAAATGTCTTCTGCTCACACAACTCAGCTACAGTCTTCAATATATGCTCAAATGTTGAAGTTTTTGTGTGAACACATATTTTTTGTCGCAGACAAATGTACGTGAAATTTCACGACACTTTGTTGAAGCAAACGAGAAAAAAAATAGGAGACTATGTTTATTATAGTATAAATTATTTCATTATGGTATGTCACAAGGATCAATTACATAGGGGAATTGTGGTGTACCATTTCTTAGAATATTTTTACGAATGTTGCTTATAAACTAGAAATTTTTATAGTATAAATTATTTCATTTTGATATGCCGCAAGAATCAATTACATAGGTGAATTGTAGTGTGCCCCATAGTATTTCTGAAAATATTGGGTTATAACTTTTGATGGGGACTGAAAAGGGATAAAAGATACGGATAAAAAAATCAGGGGGGGTTCTTTGATGATTGAACAAGTAACCGAAACGTTATAACTTTGATGAAGATTCAAATAGAATTCGAAACGGTGTGAGCTGATGATGAAGAAATAACAAACATGTTGAAACTCTGATGAAGACTTTGATAAAGTTTCAAACTGTGTACTCTGACTATTAATAAACAAACCAAAATAATGGGGCTGTAACTGAGGAGTGGGGAGTGAAAAAGTTGAAATGTGAAAGCACAAATATTCATGAAAAATTCAACAGAGGAAAGGAACATTGAAAATATTTTTCATGTGTATATGAAATAATTTCTGAAGAGTGTACGTATCAATTTTTTCAAAATGCTGTTTATCTTTCTTCAAGCGTGGCAAAGGTAATGAACGTAATAGATTCGACGGTTTCTAAATCACATCTTATGTTATATGCGGTAATCGATGAGAAAATACGAGTAATTTTCGTATCTTTTCAAACATTTTCAATATCTTTTTCATACAACTTTTGCAATTTGAAAAGTCAGAATTAGTATCCTTAGTATCCTTAGTATCCTCTTAGTATCCCATGAGACAATTGATTAATTTTATCATCGAGGACTTTTATATTCACCACTTTTACATAGCGACGACAAAACTTGTTTAACAAATCCATTTGGTAAATTCGATAGCTTCAGGTTTTTTTAATGTGTTAGAAGAACCTACCTTTCCCTGATGAAAGTCAGGTATAAACAATGGTTTTCATCGAGAGAAATTGTTACTTGAAGTTTATCAGAGAACTGTATTTTTTCTAGTTGTTTATATGTATACACACCCTTTTAGCTAACGATTATTCAAGGCAATTTTGAAAACCTCGAAATTTAGGTACGATACTATCCATATGAAGTTGTATTTCAATTCAACATTTTTCATTGTTTAGTTCAAACATTTTTATTGAATTATTTTCACTCCAACAAGTCTATATGCGTAATTGCACCAAAGTCGTGTTTCAATGCACCATTTTTTTCTCTGTTTCGTGCGAAAATTTCTATTGCTGAATTGTATTCATATAAAATCGTGTTTCAATAAATTTTTTATCGTTTAGTAGGTACGAGTTCAATCTTTCATACAATATTTTTGTTTGTTTAACTAAAAATTATCTAGGATGTCGCATTGAAGTGAAAAATATATAGCATGACCTTTTGAAAAAGTGTATACAGGGTGTTTGTTGAAAGAAAAATTATACAAAGTGTTTCAAAATATAATACAATAAAATAATAATATAAGATGATGAGGATCTCAGTTTTCAACGTGTGATCCCTCAATGTATACATGATGTCTCAAAATATATCATTCCGGCAAAACATGCCTGCATCAACGTGTTTCAAAAAACAAGGCGACTGGAGTGTGACGGGATCCTTAATTTTCAACGTTCAATCCCATTGGAAAAAACAACGTATACAGGACGTCTCATTGAGAAGAAAATCATATACAGAACGTTCCAAAAACAAGGGGACTGGAGTGTGATGAAAGCCTCAGTTTTCCGTGTGCAATCCCATTGAAAAAACAATGTATTCAGGCCGTCTGCAAAAAACATGGCGACTGGAGGATGACGAGGACCTCAGTTTCGAACGTGTGAATCCTCAATACAAAATTTTTTCTCCGCTTCATTTAAAATTTTAATTGATGTTGTCCATTCAAATGAGCTCATGTTTTAATACATTTTTCATCTTTAGTAAGCAAAGAGTTCATTCTTACATACAATATTTTTTTTGTTTGTTCACTTCAGAACATTTTTATTAATATATGTCACTACAAAACTACAAAAATACACAACACTTTCTCAGAATGGAAACCTTCAACTATAAGGACTGATTGTACTGAATATTAACTATCTATTTGAAATAGCATTCCCTAATGAGTTTTGAATAATTATGTTAACATACAACGTTGATCAATGATTTTTATATCTGATTAAAGAAAGGGGTTGGTGAGTGTGCATTCACAAATGTTGAGAAAAGTAAAACGTTTTCCGCTATTCATCCTCATTATTTGAAAAGAGGTTGTTGGTAAAAAACTATGATTGGAATAAAACACATTTTAAATGAGCGATATTTAATATCTATTGAATACAAGAAGGCCTCTACATAATCTATGAGTCACGATTATTTCATTTACTCTTTTGAAATTTCTTGACTTCGAATTACCATGTTGTTCTACGTCATCAACATAACTGTGAGCTTTTATATTAGTATTCTTTATGCGCTGCTCACTGTGGGTTGTGGGTTGTGCGTTGAGTATTCCTTCTTCTTTTTGGTGGAAACAATAATGAAATGATGTTTCGATACTTCCATGAGCGGTTGGCGTTCACTGGTCCATTGGATTTGTATCTTTGTTTGTAGGCATTGGTGATAATTAAAATATTTTTGTATACAATCAAGTCTTTAGCTATATAATGTCGAGGAACACGTTTCAATAATAGTTGAAGTAGTCCTTGCGTAAGATTGAAATGTTCGTTTTTTATAACAAGTTCATCGTTTTCATATTGTACAGGGGTATTGCCAATAACATATTCATTTTCGAAACGGATCCCATATATATCAGATTCGATCGTTCTTTGCTGTTCTGAAATCCCCTTTTTGTTGGGGAACTGGTTCCTTCATCGTGCATATATGAAATGTCGTGTTATCTGGCATATTGACTGCAACTGAATTATTTTCATTTGAAGAAGTCTATATATGCGTAACCGCCACATACTTAACCAACTGCGCTTAGCGGAACTGATACATAGTACGCCGAATCAAGCCATACTGCGCAAAGCGTAACTGCGCAACACCAAACTATACCGCGCTCGTTGAGGGTAGTCATTGGCCGTTTAATCTCGACAAAGTCTGAATATCGTTAGGAGAAAACCACTCCCACCTACGAGCATTCAATTACATCACCATATAAATTCAAGTCAATTATTATATCTCATATCCCACTCAAGAGGGAGTAAAAATGAGAAAATATTAATTTTCAATCATAATTATCGTTCTGCAAAGGCATTGGTTCAATGAATCTCCTTATCTACAGGTTTATATTCTTAGGGTGTAATTTCATAGGAATGATATTAAAATTTTTATCAAGTTATTAAAAAAAACTCTAATATTTTTATATTTTTTATTATGGATATCTAAACATTGGACACATCATTATACCCCAATATATACAACCACATTTTTCAAATAACAATTCAGATTGCTTATTAGGTACTGCAAAAAGCTGTAAATTCTTCGTGATACTTGATGTGAGCGATGAGTTTTGTAGCATATCCGTTTCTGCGGTACTCTTCCAACGTATGAATATAATTGAGAGTTTTCGGGTTAGAATGTTTTTTCAAAGGGTCAAAATCCATGGTTGACAGTAGCGCAAATGCTATTGGTTTATCGTTGACGTAAATAATGTAACAAGAGATTGTTTTATCGCAATACCACTGATGAATCAAATCACTTTCAATATTCAACTGTCTAATTTTCTTAGCAGCTTGATGACCGAAAAATAACCTGTGTATGAACTGAGTGATACAGATTTCATTTATGAAATAAACCCTCAATTATCCCCTCCCCACCCCCTTTCTATATCAAGCAGTATAATCTGTAGTTTAGCGATATGTATTCAGTTGCTTTGCGCTATTCATTAGTCTTCTTTAGATCTTTATTGGCAATTCTAGAAAAAAAGAATAATTCCTTTGAAATTTTTTTATGAATATACTCAAAATGTTCATCAAACGATAGAGTGTTATCTATCTGGAATCCCAGATATTTAGTTGAATTCACTATTTTAAGAACTTTTTTAACAGCTTCTGTATCTTGTGAGATTCTTTCAGCCTGAGTCTTTAATTGCGATTCATTAATGTTCAACATGATGAGGTTTGATGCACGATTTTGACGCTCAAGCATTTCAGAAATCACTTCTTCTCTATCTATTTCACTAACGCTATTCAGAGGCATAGGTGGCTTACACATTTTCATTTCTTCAACTTCCTTTCTCAGGTCGGAAATAGCTTTAATAAGAGCTGGAACTTGACGAAGACCGGATTTACATTCTTCACAAAGAAACTGTAGTGATCTCCTTTTCAAGTGCATACATTTCAATTCGCTGGGGCATAATTCAGAGCAAGCTGAGCTGGTATGAATGGGTCTCCTACATGAGTCACATTCAAAATATGATTCATTTTCCTCAAATTCCACATTGCATTTGAAACAACTGTTTGCCATGTTCGAAGTAAAAAAGTTCAGAGAAATCACCCAAAGAAAAGAAAAAACTACAGATAAAAATTTAAACAAATAGCTGATACACAGATAAGGAGACGTTGCTTTTTGTGGACCAGATGTTTTTGTTGATTTCTATAACTTGTCACTGGAAATTTATAATCATCTGAGCGTTATATTTACTATTCACGTAACTTTTTGAATTTATATGTAGCACAGTTACACAAAGCACTTCACTAACTTCACTTTGATACTAATTTTAACTTATTTAGATTCATATAAACTGGGTAATAGTGCTGTTATTGTGGAGCGTTAATGTCGAGAGATATACACATATACATATAAATCCAATGCCAATGCCAGCCTTCAGCAGCCGAATCAGGTCTGGCGTAATCTCAAATCTTAAACATAAGGACCCAAGGTCTTTCTTGATTGACTCAAATGCTATCTTTAAACGCCGCATTCATGATGCCCTCAAAAAGGATGAATTTGTGAAAGTTAATATGATTTTCTGTGGTGAATTTGAAATAGCGAAAGGGGCGCAAGTATTACGAGATCATAAGTATTTCACCACCTCTAACTCCCCAATTTACCGAGACACCAATCTGGATGAATGGTTCCAACATAACATTATTGAGCCAATAATGAAAGATCTCGAGGAGTTCCAAGAACGTGATTTCGGCTGGGCACTGAAAAAAATGGTTAATCTGGGTGTTAACATCAACAAGTTTACTCCTCAGATTGGCTCTTCCTACCTTGAGTTGCCACCTCAGATCCGAAAGAAGCATGCATGTATCAATGTTAAGAATGATGACCAAGCTTGCTTCGCCTGGGCTGTCGTTTCTGCTCTGTATCCTGTGCAGAAACATGCTGATCGTACTTCATCTTATCCCCACTATTCAACGGTATTGAAGCTGAAAGGTATCCAATTCCCTATGACTTTGAAACAGATCCCCAACTTTGAGAAGCAGAATAACGTTTCCATTAACATTTATATACTTCAGAAAAATAAACAATCCTTTGAAACTCTTCCAACATATTTAACTAAGGATAAGAAGGAAAGACACGTTAATCTTCTTTGGGTGCAGGAGCAGTATTTTGAAGATGGTGAAAAAGGAAATTATGTTCCAATGAAATTTCACTTTGTTTGGATCAAGAACCTATCTAGACTAGTCAGTTGAGTAATAAAGAACATTGCAAGTATTTTTGTGACCGATGTCTGCATTACTTTAGGTCCCAAGATATATTGAATAGACATATTGACTATTGTATGAAAATGAATAAAGCAGCCATGCCAGAGCCTGGAAAAGATATTTTGAAATTTAAAAACTTCAAAAACAAAGAAAGGGCCCCATTCATGGTTTATGCCGACTTGGAAAGTGTTTTGAAACCCACTGGAGATAAAAAGAAACCTCAGCATCATATTCCTGCTGCAGTTGGCTACTACTTGAAATGCTACTACGATGATTCGCTCTCGTTTTATAAATCCCATCGTGGACCAGACTGTATGACGTGGTTTGCTGATGAGATGGCTCAACTAGCTGAGGATATAGCTACAGTATTTTGGTGTCCTTATAATATCAATATGACCTGGATGCAAGAAGCACAATTCAAACTTACTTCACACTGTCATATTTGCGAGCAGCCTTTCACCCCAGAATGTGAGAAGGTTCGAGATCACAACCATCTGATTTCCGGAAATAACTATCGGAGAGCTGTTCATAAGGGGTGTAATATCATCTATAAGGACTCTCAAACTGTTTGTGTTGTTTTTCATAACTTGAATGGATATGACGCACACTTCATCGTTAGAGACATTGCTACAAGAATGGCTGGAAAGGTTGATCTACTCCCGATAACCAAAGAAAAGTATATTTCCTTTACAAAACACGTTGACGATACACCAATTCAATTCAGATTCATCGACTCGTTCCGTTTCATGGCTTCTTCATTAGATAAACTAGCATCGTATCTTCCAGAGTTCCCCAATCTGAAGTCGCAGTTTGTCGATGTGCCTATGCAACACTTCAAACTCTTAACGAAGAAAGGAGTTATGCCATATGATTATATAGATTCGTTTAGTCGATTCGATGAACCAGCTTTACCATCTCAGGATAAGTTTTATAATAAACTGGAAAATAAGCTCTGCCCCTGACGTTTTTATCAACGAGCTCAGGATGTATAGACCACCATCAACTGCCAGAATCTAGGTGATTATGTGGACTTATATATATGAATACTGATATTCTTCTGCTAGCTGACGTCTTTGAAATGTTCAGAACCTGCATCCTCAACTCACATAAACTCGATCCTGCACATTATTTCACGTTACCCGGCTACACGTGGGATGCTATGCTGAAGTATACAGGGATTGAGTTGGAACTTCTCACCGATGTTGATATGTTCCTCTTTGTTAAGCGTGGAATACGAAGGGGGGCTCAGCCAAGTTTGCTCAAAAAGGAGATCGCATGCAAATAACAAGTACATCAACAATTATGATCCTTCCAAACCTAAAACATTCATGATGTACTATGATGTCAACAATCAGTATGGGTGGGCAATGAGCCAATATATTCCATACGGAGGCTTTGAGTGGACAGATTCCAACATAGATATCACTCAAATTCCTGATGATGCCGATGAAGGATACATTCTGGAAGAGGACTTGGAATATCCCCAGCATTTGCATGACAAACATAAAGATCTACCATTATGCCCGGAACATATATGTCCTAAGACGAGAAAACCTCCAGTAAAAGCTAAACAGCTTTCAAAGTTGATGGCTATTTTACAACCGAAGGAGAAATATATCATACATTACAGAGCATTGAAGCAGGCTTTAGCACATGGATTGATATTGAAGAAAATCCATCGAGTGTTGAAATTTAAACAAAGTCCATGGTTGAAGTCCTATATCGATTTAAATACAGAGTTACGCGCAAAAGCATCAAACGAGTTTGAAAAAAATTTATACAAGTTAATGAACAATGCAGTCTTCGGCAAAACTATGGAGAACGTTCGGAAGAGGGTTAACATCAGACTTCTCACAGAATGGAGTGGTAGATATGGAGCAGGAGCCTACATTGCTAAGCCTGAGTTCAAGACTTGCACCATATTCAATGAAAACTTGGTGGCTGTTGAGCTTAATAAGCTGCAAATTTTCCTAAACAAGCCTATATATGTAGGACAGGCTATTTTGGATTTCGCAAAGACAACCATCTATGACTTCCACTATGGATATATGATGGAGCGTTTCGGAGACGGCTGTACCGTTATGTATACCGACACCGATTCTCTCATATACGAGCTGCGACAAGACCCCTACGAGATAATGAAGCGAGACTGCCATCAATACTTCGATACTTCGAATTATCCATCCAACAATCAGTTCAACGTTCCTTTGGTGAATAAAAAGGTTCTCGGGATGATGAAGGACGAGAACAATGGCATACCGATGATGGACTATGTTGGACTCCGTTCCAAATTATATGTAACAAAGGTACTAACAACTGAGGGTGATTATGAGGAGAAAAGAAAAAAATTGCTGAATGAGGGGTATGATGAAGATGAAATTGCGATGGAATTGAAGAATTTGGAGAGCACCAAGAAAGCAAAGGGAGTTAAAACATCGGTTGTGAAAACGACAATCACGTTTGATGATTATGAAGAATGTCTCAACAATTGGAAATGTATGAGTGTCACTCAGAGACTAATTCGCTCTGATAAATATCAAGTGCACTCCATCGTCCAGGAGAAGATCGCTTTTTCCCCTGAAGATGATGAAAGATATCTAATACCCGATTCTGATGAAAATTTACCATGGGGGCGTTATTGCAAAGCCGAAGAAATGGATATATCATAACTTTGTAAATTCATTAAAATATAATGTATGATTTGAAATTGACTATTTCTGCTCACTCCCGCAATGATGAATCTTTTGAAAAATTATTACTTCTCAAATGCTGGAAACGCGTATAAACGGTAAACGTATGCCTGTAAAACTTTTTCCTTTCTTATTGGCCATGATGTAAATTTGATATTACACTTTTCTAAACACTTCCTTTATGATGACAAAATTTAAATATTAGTGCATAAGCAGTAACTTCAAAGACACTTTTTTGTGGTTATTATATGCCTACTGGGGAAACTTCCACAATAAAAAAAAGATAACGCATGCGCAGTCCTACCTCCTGGGTGATGTGGAAAAGGATTTTGCAAAATATCATCTTGGAGGAATGTACAGAATTTCTTATATTCAGATATCTTCAACAGTTGTGATAAATTTCAACATTAGTTGATAAGGCGCACCCGTCATATTTTTTCTTGAATGATGTGTTTTGAGACACTCTATAAACCACAATGTTTTTTATAATTCATTCATCATCATTATTATCTCAATTTCATCATCTACAATCATTATTCTATTTATTTCGAGGAGGCTGACTATAAGTTATTCTTATCATGTAAATCCAAAAGGTCTTATTTATTTCAATGACAAATGACGAACGACCATTGTTTTTTCTCTCAATGGTATTCCTCTTCTGATGATGCTTACTTGGTTAGCGGAACGCCCGTTGAGAGACGGTAAATGACAGATGACTGTTATATATTGAAACATGAAAATGTGGCTCAGTGCCTTTTGGCCGCAATCTTCGTTTTTTCTTTTTGTCTAGACATTCTGCATTTATTTCCCTTCCATTTGATGTGTTGCACGTTGAGATCCGACTATTATTAACGAAGATGTGACTTAGTATCCCTTCTGGCTACCATATTTGTTTTTCTTTGTCGAATAATTCTATATTCCTTTCCCTTTCATTTGACGCGCTGTAAATGACGATGCTACTATCATTAACGAAAATTTGGCTTAGTGCCCTTCTGACCGCAATCTTTGCTTTTTCTTTGTCGATGAATCCTGCATTTCCTCTCCTTTCATTTGACGTGTTGTACGCGATGATTCGATTATAATTAGCGAATATACAACTTAGTGCCCTTTTGGTATATGTCACCGTCTTTGATTT